TGGTATTGTGGTGTCATCCATGGAAGTGCATCGCATGCTTAGGAACCATCGAAAGCGTCAAAACGAGAGTTACCGCGAATACCTTTACAATCTAATGGAGATTAGCAAACCGATTGAATTAGATGAGTTGAGTTTAGTAACATATTTTATCGAAGGTATTCCTGTTCTAAATCCAACAAGAGTAACTTATATCAGGCCAAAACTGTTAAAGAACTTAAGATCCAGCTTAGCATATATGAAAAAGTGCGGGGTGGTCGGCAAGAAGTAAACAGCTCAGGTTCAGTTCGTTCGGGTGAAGGAAATAAGGCGTCTACTGGTTTGGGTAACAATAAAGATCAAACAAAACGTTGTTTCAAGTGCGGAGATATTTCGCACATCGCAAAAGATTGCAGTCAAAAACAAATTAAATGTTTCAAATGCGGTCAGCCAGGGCATCGTGCCGTAGATTGTCAGCGACAGCAAGTTGAGGTTAAGAAGGAAAAAAGTAATGTAAATACGTTGAGGAACCAGGGAAAACAAGAATTTGGAACAGGAGGATGCATTTTTAAGGATCTAGCCGTTGGGGGAGCGACATTTTCCGCTTTAATAGATACCGGATGTGACCTTTGCTTAATTCGTCGCGATGTTTTGTTGTTGTTAAATGACGACATCGAATTAAGCAACGACCAAATAAGCCTTATAGGCGTAGGAAATGCCAGACTAACGACGCTAGGTAGCTTCAAAACTATGGTGGTGGTCGACGGTATGGAACTTTAAGTCATTTTCCACGTGACCAGAGAATGTGACATGCGGTATTCAGCAGTGATTGGTGTCAGTGTGTTGAAATTGGTTGACTTGGTTGTATCAGAGGGTTCGGTAGAGTTTAAGGAGAAAGTTGACAAGGCTGAGGCAAGTCAGACAGGAAAAAAGGGTTCGAATGCAGTCGTGGCAGGAAGTTGCTTAGTTTCGGACGAAGCCGAGGGGAGATGTACAGAGGTTGAGGCAGAGTTTAAAGAGCTATGCCAAGTTGCCGTTGTTGAAGAAACTAGGGAACCAGATATTGACTTATGCCACCTTCAACCGTTAGAAGCAAGTGCAGTAGAGGTGTTGATTAAAAATTATGCACCCGTAAGAAACCAGAAATCATTTGTTGAAATGAAGATCGTGTTGACTGATGATTATCCCGTTCACGAAGGCCCTAGACGCATTTCATACGCTGACAAGAAAGTGGTAGAAGAACAGATAGCGGAGTAGCTACAAGAGGGTATTATTCAACCCAGTACATCGGAGTACGCTTCGCCCATTGTACTTGTTGTCAAAAAGGATGGATCAAAAAGGCTTTGCTGTGACTACAGGCGTATAAACAGCAAGATTATGAGGGATAACTTTCCGATGCCGTTGTTAGACGACGTCATTGAGAGGCTACAGGGGGCTAAATTATTTACGACCTTGGATAGGGCAAACGGGTTCTTTCATGTACCTGTCGAAGCGAAATCCAGGAAGTATACCGCGTTCGTTACACATAACGGGCAGTACGAGTTTCGATATGTACCCTTTGGGATATCAAACTCACCTGCTGTATTTTCGAAGTACACTGCTACGGTTTTGAGGGATATGGTGGAAGATGGGACGGTTGTTGCTTACAGGATGTAAGTGAGGCCATTCAGAAATTAGAGCGTGTGTTAAGTCGAGCAGCCGAGTATAACTTGCGAATAAAATGGAGTAAATGTCAATTTCTGAATAGGAAAGTGGACTTTTTGGGTTATATTATAGAAAATGGAGCTATAAAACCATCCGAAGCAAAAACAAGGGCGGTGGAGAATTTCCCTATCCCGCGAGATAGAAAGGCAGTACAGCGCTTCCTTGGGTTGACATCTTATTTTAGACGTTTCATTGAGGGTTATGCAACTATCGCAAAACCTCTTTCAGACCTTTTACGAAAAGACGCTCAGTTTTTACTTGAGGCAGACCAGTTAGCAGCTTTTCAGCAACTAAAAGAAGCACTAGCGAAAGCTCCGGTTCTGCGACTGTACAACCCAAAAGCGTTGACAGAGGTTCATACGGATGCATCCCTGCACGGATACGGACGATCAGCTTTTCCACCCGGTACAGTATATGAGCCGGAAGACGACGCCAGCTGAAGAAAAGTACCATTCATATGAGTTGGAGGTACTTGCTATTGTAGCCGCGTTGAAGAAGTGGAGGGTGTATTTGTTAGGCATAAGTTTCAAGATAGTGACAGATTGTAACGCTTTCGCTATGACGATGAAGAAAAGGGACATTCCACTAAGAGTTTCCCGTTGGGCCTTATTTTTACAAGATTTTAACTACCAGATAGAACACAGAAGCGGAAGTAAGATGAGGCATGTAGACGCCTTAAGTCGAGTTTGTTGTTTGATGCTAGAGGATTCGCTACAGCACAGACTGCGTCAGGCACAGTTAATGGATCCTTGGGTGAAAGCGGTTATTAAAGTTCTCGAAAAGGACAATTATGAAGACTTTTTCATGAAACATGGGGTGGTCTATAAAGATCCCACTAAGGAACTTATAGTCGTACCAGTTGAAGCAACAGGCAGCAATATTTGGGAATCCAGGACGCATTATATCGGATCGGG